ATATAAAAAAGTATGTAAATTTTAAAAAAAACATAGGTTTGATTAAGATTATTTAGACAAATTTGCCCATAATGTAAAACAGTATAAAAGATAAAAAATAAGTTGTAATAATCAAACCTGCAATCAGTTTTGACGATTAGTATGCAATAATCCTATGGAAGACTATAAACACTATAGACACAGAATTAACACAGATACCATAAACTCAAATTGCTATTCATGCTAATTCTGAATCTATTCTTTCAGTTGATTCCCAAAAATTGACTAAATCTCTATTAAATTAAATAAATAACTCAGTATCATATAGATCAATTCCTCTTTTATATTTTATTAATTTAGCTAAAATAGAGTTAGATTTAGCATTAAACTACGTTTCATAATAATATTTAAGCTATTGTCCAATATAAGTTCAGGATAGGTTAGCAATTTCACTATTAAATTTGATAAGTTTATATTAAGGATACAGTGCAAAAGAAAGAATTATTAATGGTTGTTCTCATTCATTCCAATGAGATTTGATATATCTTTTTATTCTTTCTCCAAACTCAACATCTTGATAATATTCAACTATTTTTATTGTATATACAAAACAATGAAGAACTTTATATAGTCAGGCCATATCTTTTGTAATTTGTTTAAGAAACCACAAAGAGGATATATAAAATTCTGTAAATTAGTTAATGTTATCCAAAACCAAGGATTGTTTATAATGTCTGTAATGTTATCTGAAAGCTTTTGATTACTATTATGATGTGTTGATTAATTATTTGCTAGTATAGATAGAATACCATCAGTTCAAATTACATCATCCTGATTATTATTAAATTTAACAGAGAGAAACTAATTATTGTTTTGTATTAAATGGCCAGGTTAATAAAATAATCTGGTTGTGCAAACTTAATTTCTTAGTTTTCATAACAAATTTTAAAAATAACTCAAAAATTAAGCTTTTTATTTATATGATATTATAACAATTGTTTTAAAAATTATATATATAAATTTTTTCTTTTTTTTAAAAAAAAAAAAAAAATCTACCTAAAATTTAATCTAAGCTATAAAAACCAAAAAATTAATATTGTAATTATATGAAAAAGTAATTTAAACTAATACAAATTATTGTTACTAGCTTTTTAATCAACCTATGATACAACTTCAACTATATGCATTTCACTAATAACTGTTGAAGATAGTTTATTACTTGTGATAGTAATTTAGATATTAAAATTACTCAAGATGAAGAAACATATCTTGAAAGCTGATTTAGACTTTAAAATAGAATAAAAACAAAAATAGTATGAATTCTATCTTGTATGTCTAGACATAATTAATGTGATAGGCTTTTTATAAATTCGCATTTGTTTATCTCCAAGATTTCTCATAAAAAAGGTTGACTTGCGAAAAAAACTCATAATTCTTATTGCTTCTTTAAAAATCCTATGATATAGACTAGATTCCTTGAAAATATCACTAACTACTAAATTTGTTTGATGGGCTATACACGGTAAAAAAAAATTTTGAGAGATATTTTCTTCATAATTGTTAACTAGAAAAAAAAAATTTAAAATAATAAAAAAAAAAAACAAATTAAGAATAAATAAATTTTCCGTGCTGCTACATACTTACTGGCGGAATCAGAAACAAAAGCCTTGATATTTATTTTTTTTTTAGTTTCTTTTATCAATTGCTTAATATAATTTATTACATTTTGTGTTTGTGATCTTTCTAAACTGATATCATGGGCTCTGCTCCCTATATTAAAGATTGTTCACCTGTAGTTATGAAAACTATATTCCAAAGATGTTCTTGTTTTATATTAGTCCAACTGTCAAAAGTCATAGTTACTTCATCTATATCATTCTTAGCAATTTTAATAATATTTTCTTGCAATAACTTTGCACTTTTTATTAATACTCTGCTATCTATAACTTTGCGTTTAGGTAACTTAATTCCTGGCATTAAAAACTTAAATACAGTGATAGTATCCTCATTCTCAATGAATGTAAAAGGCAACGCATTAGAGAACAACCATTCTTAAGAACAATTGCTCAAACTGAAGTTGATGATTAACTGAAAAGGGTTGACAAGGAAAATTCATTATTGTAGATTGTTGACTATTAACAGAGGAGTGGCTTGAAGTAGTAGAAATTATTGAATTGATGTGCAAACTGGTAGATTTATTAGTATTGGATTCTTCATCTATATTAAATTATTGTTTAGTATTATATTGTAATATAACCTAAACTATAACTTTACATAATTTAAGAATTTTACATACTATCCAGTTCTTTATTGTTTTTTTTCATTTTTTTTGTTATCTTCTGGTATTGGCAAAGCCAAAACTCTTTGCACTTCTTCTTCAGTATTAGCTTCACAAAAAGCTTCATATTTTGAAAGATGATTATAGCATAAACATACTCTGTTAATAGTGCAACATTCTGGTTTTAGTTGAATTACACTTACTCTGCCATATTTGTTTATACACTAGTTACATATTGCGAAGGCATTTGTAGGATTATTTAGATTTTTTACTAAGGTAAAATGGTTTCTAAAATTATGAGGAGGTGGCATAATAATAAAAAAAATAGAGAACCTTCAATATGGTAAAGATTAATTAGAATCTCAATACAATAAAGTTGAGCTTAAAGCTCTATAGTTTTTATTGATAAACCTATTCAATTGAATGCAAAAAGAATAATCTATATCATTAGTTAATTGTAAAAAAATTAATATAATAATGATACTGCTTACTATGTATGAACATAAAAATATATAATTATGGATCTGAAAGTATTTCTTAAACTGCCTAGTGTTCGTGAGCAAATTTGTATACCAAGACATGTAAAAATTGAAATACAAAAATACAAGACTTAAAATAACAAAACATAGACATTATTTCATAAATTGAGTCCTCTAAAAATGTTATGATTTAAAATAATGTCTATGTACAGGCATCTTGAAATAATCTCATATCCAATATCAGCAATAATACTCAAATTTAAAAAGCTTGAAAATAGTATACATGGACGTATATACGTACGTATTTATAATAACATATCAATACCTGCCTGAATTCTACTCACTTAATAAGAATTACAAAATTAGATAATAAATCAACTTCTTCTACAGCTACATATAAGATATAAATATAATTCTGTTATACAAAATATGCAATTTTAATTGGTTAAAATTTATGACCTATGACTATTGGTTATATGACCTAGGTTATATAGGTCATATGACCTCAGATGATAATGTTATGACCTTATGACCATATTACCTATATGACCTAGATCATATGACCAAGGTCATATTAAAAAAATATTATGACTTAGATCATAGGCCATTACTGGTTATTACAATATTGTGTCTGAGTCTCTAGTTTTAAATATTCTCTGAATATGAAGTTCAAATGTAATTTCTTTGTATTCTGTAAAGAAACTCAATTGAATTTCAATAAAATTAGAGGTATAGTCTTATCTTTAAGATTTTTTTTTAAAAAAAAAGTTATATTTATATACTTGTTTTTATTTTAGATAATTTGTAGAAGCATACTGTACTAATTTTAAGGTCAAAGAAAATTACAACAATTATAAAATATTTAATGATTTAATGTAAAGAACAAA